TCCTAAACTCCATAGCCTCTGAAAGATAAGTACAGACGTCTCCGTACCGATCCTTCAGACTCTACTAAGTTTGCTCGTGACTCGTGAGACCCCTAGTGCTCTGATACCAAGTGTCACGACCCGAAATTTCTACCTTCGGGACCGTGATGGCGTCTAACATTTCACTTGCTAGGCAAGCCAACGTTAGAATATAATTAGCCATTTTAACACAATTTTAAATCAATTAATAACAAAGAAAACAAATGCAGAAAAAAAGTCTGAAATAAAGTAAATAATCCATAATAAACGCGATATCTAAATACTATCCAGGAATTTGAGTCACAAGTGCATGAGTTTCTAGAATAATATAATTAAAGGTCTGAAAAAAGTTCAAGTTGTTTGAAATATAATACCCATGTGAGATAAGATAGAAGGGGACTTCAGAACTGCGAACGCTGTGCAGTTATATCTCAAGTCTCCACTGATAACTGTATCCGGACAAATCTACAGTACGTCGCTGGGACCAACTCCGAAATCTGCACAAGAAGTGTAGAGTGTAGTATCAGTACAACCGACCCCATGTACTAGTAAGTGCAGAGTCTAACCTCGACAAAGTAGTGACGAGGCTAAGGCAGGTCACTTATATTAACGTGTATGCAATAATAATAATAACAACAATAATAGAAATAAATCAGGCAACCCATTTTAACAGTTAAAGTCAACTCGGCAGTCAATCAAATTCTGTTGCGGCGTGTAACCCGCCCCAACAATATAATTTCTCAATAAATTTCCGCTGCGGCGTGCAACCTGCTCCAGTAATATAAACTTTAGATAAATCTGTTGCGGCGTGCAACCCGGTCCCCCAATATAAATTTTAAATAACTCGGTTGCGGCGTGCAACCCGATCCCCCAATATATTTATTTTCATTTCCGTTGCGGCGTGCAACCTGATCCCCCCATATATTTTAACAACTCTTAAATGTAATAAAAATACTCCAATAAATACCACGTTCAATGAGAAACTATTAAGCATCAAGGCATACAATAATTATAATTCATTTATGAAACAAACAATGACAAGTAGCAATTAATTGTGAAAATCAGGGAGAAAATAGACAATATAATATTTAATATGCTAAATGTCAAGTAGCAATTAAGACACATAAATCAAATAAGCATGTGACAATTATTGCAGAAATTCAAGAATTAATATTTGACAAGGAATAAGAGAGAAATAATTATTATAACAATTAATTCGTGTCTTAAAATAATTTAAGATGTTTAAATAATTAAGCAAACAATTAAATTGACATAGTATAGGCACTCGTCACCTGGCCTATACATCATTACATATGAAATTCACATTGCAAAGAATTCAAGGGTTCTATTCCCTCAAGTCAAGGTTAACCACGACACTTACCTCGCTTTGCAACCAAATTCAAGAATCTAATAAACCTTTGCCTCGCGAATTCGTGTCTGAAATCCTCAAATCTAGTCATAAATAATTCAATATACTCAGTACAAATCGCAGGAATTAATTACATATGAATTTATAAATTTTTCGGATTAAAATCCGAAATTCATCTCAAAAATTGACAGTGGGGCCCACGTCTCGAATCCCGAAAAAATTACGAAATCCGAACACCCGTTCCGATACGAGTTCAACCATACAAAAATTATCGAATTCCGACATCAGATTGGCTTTCAAATCTTCATTTTACATTTTTGGAAGATTTTATAAAAATCTGATTTTTCTTCCATAAATTCACGGATTTATGTTGTAAATGAGTATGGAATCATGAAATATAATCAATATAGGATAAGGAACACTTACCCCCAATAGTTTTCCGTAAAAATCGCCCAAAAATCACCTTACCCGAGCTCTGAATAATAAAAAAAGGGGACGAAATCCCATTTCCAGAACTTAAGTTCTGCTGTCGAGGAATTTCTTCATCGCGTTCGCGATAGCACCCTCGCGTTCGCAAAGCACATTTTTGTGTTGTCCCAGATTTCTTCTTCGTGAACGCGAGGTCAGTCTCGCAAATGCGATGCCTTGCCAAACTTGGCCTTCGCGAACGCGTTCTCCCCTACGCGAACGCGAAGCCTTATCGCCTGGTGTCCGACCATGCTTCGCCCTTCTACGCGAACGCGAACGCTCCCACGCGTTCGCGATGAACACTGCCCTCTACCCCTTCGCGAATGCGGTCCCCTCTTCGCGAATGCGAAGAGTAAATTTCGCCTGCCTCCAGTTCCTCTTCGCGAACGCGAAACCTCTATCGCGAACGCGAAGAAGGAAACCAGATAGTGCATCATAAAAATTCCAGCAGAGTTCCAAATCCAAAATTCAACCCGTTAACCATCTAAAATTCACCCGAGGCCCTCGGGACCTCAACCAAATACACCATCAAATCCTAAAATATCATACGAACTTAGTCAAAACCTCAAATTACATCAAACAATACTAAAAACACGAATCACACATAGATTCAAGCCTAATGAACTTTGAAACTTCTCATTTCTACAAACGATGCCGGAACCTATCAAATCAAGTCCGATTGACCTCAAATTTTGCACACAAGTCATAAATGATATAACGGACCTATAAAAATTTTCAGAACTCGAATCCGACCCCGATATCAATAAAAGTTAATTTTTGGTCAAACTTTGAAATCTTTAAGCCTTTAGGCTTCTAGTTTTCGTCAACTGGCGATAATTCAATATAGGGACCTCCAAATTAAATTTCGGGCATACGCCCAAGTCTCAAATCACGATACGGACCTACCGGAACTATCAAAATACTGATCTGAGTCTGTTTGATCAAAATATTGACCAAAGTCAATTCAATTGAGTTTTAAGGCTTTATTTCACATTTTAATTAATTTTTCATATAAAAACTTTCCGGAAAATTATGCGGACTATGCACGCAAGTCGAGAAATGATGAATAATGCTTTTCGAGGTCTTAGAATATGAAAATAATTATTAAATTTAAAGATCATTTTGGTATCACATCCACCACCGATAACTCATCGAGTAAAAAGTTGGTATCGTTTTTCACCTTGAAGCACCAGCACTTCACTATACTTTGTCCGCTCATACAAACTCTCAAATATCTCTGGGAAAAGATTAGTTGGTGCAATATTTTTGTCAGAAATCAAGACCTTTTTTTCTGACGAGACAACTAGGCATTAGGCACATTACAAATCAATTTGAATTGCTGAAACGCCTCTAGCTTCTCATTGTTTGAAGTACTGGCTAAAACAAGCCAGTCTTTAACCCCTCTTTCTTGGATATGTCAGGATAATTCTTCTTAGCAGCCTGGTGCACTAAGCTCCCGCTATGCGCGGGATCCCGGGAAGGGCTTGACCACAAGAGTCTATTGTACGCAGTCTTACGCTGCATTTCTGCAAGAGGCTGTTTCCACGGCTTGAACCCGTGACCTCCTGATCACATGGCAACAACTTTACCAGTTACGCCAAGACTCCCCTTCTATGTCAGGATCAATGACTCTTGATATTTTATCGATAAACACTTTTCTTTTGTTTGTCTCGTTGCAATAGGAATCTAGTTCATTTAACACCTCATCAACATAAGTCGGCCCTGATAAGCATAGTTTGCTAAAAGAAAAACACACTGGAGATGTTCCAAAACAATGTACAAGAAAACCAATATCCTAAGCCCTGTATTATAAGTCACAGCATAGCTTCAGTATCAATATGAGTCATGCGCACCTAATTACAACTTCTTACAAGTAAGATAAACCTTCTGAGATCAATCAACAACGAGCTCCACTTCTCAGCGAAAAAGCATTTGTAAATGCCACATCTTTTCTGTAATCCTATATAAGAAAAAACTCAAATTTAAGCATGTTGCATGTAATGAGACCTTATACAGTAAGTTTCAAGATTTGACTTAGGAAAAGTGGCTGAACATTCTTTATTTCAGTGCAAACTCTTCTTTGACTGAACAACTATGTCTACGGATTTTTCTCCCAAATTAAGATTTACATATTGAACATCTGTATGCTGTACCAGCTTAGATATGAACAGCATCAAACTTAAAAGAAGTAAATGGTGCAAAAACAAGTTAGTGGAGGGAAGTACTGAATGTTGAGCAAATAACATACAGACATGCAATTATGGTAATACTACATCACGATGATTTCCATTTACTAACACATGGTGAACCTACAGAGTGTAATTGTTAAAATTTTCGTACGTCGAAAAATTACTTAGAAGTCATGCCAAAGTTTCATTCACAAGATAACAACATACCAGGGCTAATTCAGGCTCCTGTAAGATTCCAACTTGTGACATCGCTTTCTCATTATTTTGGTGATGCTTCTCCAAATAACTGGCCAGCTTTCTTTGACTGAAATGGTAATTATTCCTTACTAAGTGTGGCTACAGTGTTATCACCATCAATCTACTAATCAAACCCTACACCATTAGCACTTAGAGAACCTTCTTTAAACCATTATATATCATAAATCCTCTCCTTAGCTTCCTCTTTGAACTAGACTATACCTTTGTAAGTTCCTCCCCATGGATTCTATGCCACATGGATTTTAATTTCATCTTCCCATATTTGTGATATCCCATTTTACAACTTATTCTCTTTTTTCATACTACTAAGAAACCATAAACACACGTAGTCCAGCTCCATTCACATGAACTGGGAGTTCTCATACCAGGCAATCAATAATACTGCATTGCAACAACGTGTAAACGTGACTCTCTTTTGAGGACTGCAGCGCAACAATGCTTTGTTAGAATGTGACTTCTCATGATATTGCAACCCCTATAACAACCTTATTGTGCGATAAACTTGCACCAAAGATCAGAATTGATTCAGTACAGATGCAGCCAACTAGTAAAAGGAAGAACACAACAAAATTCGCAGTTCAACCATAGAACTCAAACTCAACCACTAGTACGTGTTTAGAAGATAAGAACCTAAGGTAACACAGCCACACATGCATAATAAATGAGCTTCATATTAGTAGTACACATGACTATTACAAAAAGATGGTTTTCTCTTTATTATCATCATAGGAACACCAACACCTTGCAAATGTTAGCAAACTAGTTACTCAATGTTAATACTGTACAGCAGAATTTTGTTCGATTAAATTAGCAGCTGAATTCTCTGATCCAAAAACTTATCAAGAATCAGCTATCCCTTGGCAGAAAGGAAAGGGACAACCACAGTTCCTCAAAAGGGGAAAAACAAAAACACAAAGAAGAGTATCTTCTGAAATTGTCCTATTTTTTTTTCCTTTTCCTAGAATCAAAAAAAGACCTTGTTGAACTAACATGGTAAACATTCAAAAACTTCGGCTATTGCACAAATACAGCAATCAACCAACAATACTAAATCCATCTGATAAAAACAGCAGCAGTACATCATCTTGTTAGCCTGCGCGCAAGGGCTCAGTAGAACTCTAGAACACACCCACAGTCATTACCAAACTACCAAAATTTTATTGGAAATCAAGGAAACTCAGGTCATCCAAGCTGAAGTTGAAGTCTTCCTGCCGTCCTGGCTTTAAAAAATCAAAATTATAATCATCCACAATAGGTGCTAGCTGCTGCATTTGCTGCAAATCTTTATCATCTGTATTTTGCAACTGAGATGACGGATTAGAGAACTGGTTGTTGTCATAGGCAGCACTCTGCAGTCGATACGAAGAATCATGCGCATACTGATTGACAGGAACAGAACCAGAAACTTGGTTGGGAGCCGAGGTATCCAGTGGAGTCGAATCTAACACGCCTAATAGCTCATCCACATCAAACATCTCATCATCCCAACAGAAGTTGTCTACATTATCTTGGCCACTCGTCATTGTACCATAATCAAAGGCAACAGGCTCTTCTTTAATTTCAACAATCCCTCTTTCATCCAACACGCCCTTGGCCTCGTCTTTCACTTCCTCTTTCACTGAACTCGAAGGTGTTCCAGCTTCATAAAAAACACTCCTCGGGCCATCACTTCTCGATTCACTTTCGCGATCTTCAAATTTAATCTTAGGAATGTTGGTTGTCTCAGTGAGACTTGAGGCTGTTGTAGAATCGGATTGAGACACTGTAGGCAACAAGGAATCATCCTTAGAAGACTCATTCGACAAAGGGTAATTCGGGAGATTCAACCTAGCACAAGGACCATACATTGCTCTAGCAGCTTCATCATAAGCTAAAGCAGCTTCGATTGCAGTATCAAAAGTACCTAACCAAAGCCTTCTCCCTCTATGCGGTTCCCGAATCTCAGCAACCCATTTACCCCATGTCCTTTGCCTAACACCTCTGTATTTACACCGCCCGTTTTCGGGACCTCCTTTACCTTTCATACATCCTTTCTTTGATCCTTTAGCAGGAACTTTACGCACCGGCTTTTTCCCATCATCACTAGACTCTAGTTTCTCATTGACCTCTTTCCACTTTGCTAGTGTCTCTGCTACATTCTTTGGTGCATCTTTTCTACTTCTTGATTTCCTCTTTCTTGTATAATCCAATGGTAAAGACATCATATTTGAAGCTTGATCAAGTATAGCCATAACTCTGTTGCTGTAAATAAAAAAGAATATAATTGTCAAATATGTACTAATATATATAGACAAGGTAAGCAAACACCAGCAGAAGCCTTAGTGAGCAAGTAAAAATAACCTGCCTTTAATATAAAACTGTTGCCCTCCTCAGCAAGAAACCCAAAATTAAAAATAACACCTTTTCTTCGCGAGCAAGTAAACCAATTCCTTTCCGCTAAAAATTTAGTTTCGCACTATCACAGATTCAACATGAAAAATCAAACAACAGTCCAAAATTACACCATTTTATTTTAACCCTATTTAGCAATATTATATTTCTATCGCCTCTATCAACTCTTAGAGAATATACACACACACTGAAAATTTTAGCAAAAAGGAAAAAATTCAAAAAAATTCTATGATCCCAAAAAATTAAACTCAGACCTTCTATATCTATTAAAAAAATCATCTAAATATGTAAAAAAAAAAAAAAGGAAAAAAGAAAAACGTAAACTCAAAACCCACCAATTACTCTTCGTATTCCTAAAATCCTTCAAATCCTAAAACGAATAACATATTAAAAAAGATGACAAATTGTGATTTGATAACGGTACATATAAAGGATAAAAATCAACCTACCTTGAAATATTATCAGATAACTGCACCAAATTCACCTTCTTTTGAACTATCTATGCAATCGATAAATGCGTTCGCTTCACAAAACCTTTGCTTTTTCTACTTTTCTTCTGCTTTATATGGAAATCAAACAGAATTGGGAAACAGATCGGAATAGTTTGGTTTGATTTAATACTATTTTGAGAGTGATTTTTTCTTGGACAAGTTTCTTACACGAAGAGAATCAGAAAACCAAGGGAGAGGGGATTCTAAAGGAGTATTTATAGACTACACCAAATATTTTTAAATTGAGTTTTTAAAATTAATTTTAAAATTAAATATCTAGTGTTTGTAAAAGTGGTGACGTGGCAAGTTTTAGATAAAGTCGTGGCTCTTTGACTACCGCGGGATATGACACGTGTCAGCAGAAAGTTCACGAACTTCTCGTTTTCCCTTTTCTTTGTGCTGAAGAAATCCTGTTTTGCTTTAAATAATTGACCTTAACGTTGACATATATTTCAATTATGCCATTGGGTTCGAGATTGATCTAATTTCTTCACTAGGGGGTTTAGACTGCTCCCAACTTCCAGGACATGTTTAAGGCTTGTTCGTCACATATATTATTAGTTGTGCACAATTAAAAAACGAGGTAAATTTTTTATTGAAAAATATCATTATAAAGTACATGAAGAGGAGTCTTGGCGTAATTAGTGTCATATGGTTGGGAGGTTACGGGTTCAAACCGTAAAAACAGTATCTTGCAAAAATACAGGGTAAGACTGTATACAATAGACCCTTGTGATCCGGCCCTTCCTCGGGCACCGCGCATAACGAGAACTTAGTGTACATAACTGTACTTTATAATTATATAAAGTACACATTATTATTTAAAGTTTATTATATCACAGAAGAATGTCAAATAATATATATTTTGATTCGTGATTAAGGTTATGGTACAAAAGTTGTTAAATATTTTTTTTAGAAATAGACATATTAGTTCATAAATGGATGTGTAAGCAATAAAGGCTGAGGAGAGAAAAACATGGAAAGTGTATAAGCACTTCTCATCAATCTTTGGTCGAACTACAAGTCTAAAAACAAAATGACCCCTATTTTACAACTTATCCGTAATTCGTAAGTAACATGATAACCCCACCACATTCTTCCTCTTTTTCTTTGAATATACGAAAATATATCTAGTATTATCCCACACTATATGATCTGAAAAGGGTAATGTATACGCAGACCTTACCTCTACCTTGTGAGGATAGAAAGGTTATTTCAATTTATAAGTTTATACGATTGTCTAATTCAAGTTAATACCATTAGGTGTTCGAAATATACTTAACTAATTAATCTTTATTCGTGCCGTAAAAAGCATATTTTAAATAATTAAAGATGAATGAATATTTACAAACTCTTCAACCTACTACTTTAATATTTTTACTGTCGTCACTAGCATAGAAATCAGATTGACGTATGATATAATATTTAATCTTGCAGCATAAATCACCAAAAATTGCTTTAGATTTCATTTCACAAGTGTACGTAGTATTCTTGCATTTTTAAAATTCTTTTGTTAGAATTTTTTTCGTTTCATCATTAGCTCTCAAACAAACAATTAAGCTTTTAACTCAATCTAATAACCTATCTATTGGATTGGTTATCTTCTAAATTTTCGATTCCCAATCTTATAATTCGCATTCCATTTCTTTATTCCCTCCCCTAATGTATGATAAAAATTCTTAAAAGAAAAAAAGGCGAAGTGAATAGTTCTCCCTTTGTTTCTATTTTTGAATGAGACATTGCGCTTATTAAGAGTTAACTTAATTAAATTTTGAAGTTAAATTAAATTAGTTCAATTCAATATTTTAAAATTAAAATTTAAATATTTAAAAACTATACAAAAAGTATTACTTATAAATTACTATTTTCTTCGTTCCAATTTATGTGAACATGTTTGAATGGATACGGAGTTTAAGAAAAACTGAAGACTTTTGGAATTTGTGGTCCTAAACAATTCAAAAATGGGCCCAAAGTATTTGTGTGGTTATAAAAGTTTCTCATTAAGGATAGAATTGTAAGGTTTTTTTTAGAACAGATCAAAAAAGAAATAGGTTCACATAAACTGGAACGGAGGTAGTATAATTTTTTTCATGTCACTATAATAAAAAAGTATTTTAAAATTTTAGTCAAACTGCACATAATTTGACGCTCGAAAAATAAAATAAATAATAACAATAACAAACTCGGTATAATTTTATAAGTGAGATCTGTGAAAAATAACGTGTATACAAATTCTATCCTTACAAAATTATTTTTGATAAGCTAAATGTATCATCTAAATCGAAATGAAGTAATAAATAATATAAAGTTCAAAGCCGCCGGTGTGATTCTCGGAAACGATTAAGTGGGGACAAGAAGGTACGATTTCGATATCTGCATGGCTGACACGTATCAATTTGCAAAATGTAACTCGTGGGAAATGGATAGAAGATGTCAGCAGTGACCTCGTTTTTCTGTTTTCTGTCTTTTTGTATTTTTTAAGTGAGTAAAAGGCGTTCGTCAACACTAAGTTGACTGCTCAACCTTGCGGCGCAATGAATGACGACTTTTCTTCCCTTAGCCAATACGTGATGGCTGATGCATATCCTCTTTTGGATTTTTTTTTAGAAATAACCTAATTGAAAACTACTAATTAAAAATTAGCTATATTTTAAAAGTAATTAAAATTTAATTTTTTTTACGTGAAAATAAAATCTAAATAATAACACTCTTAAAAATTTAGAAAAATTTCAGTATAAAATATTAGAGTTTCGAATTTTTTACGTATAAGATTTCAGTATAATATGTTGGAAGTTCATATGCAGGAGGTCCATCATCCAATATATTATGTTGGAGCTTTCCGTGTTTCAACTATGATACTTTTGTTTAGATTTTATTTCCGCCTTACTACTTTTTTTAATAACTTTGCTAATACCGGCTACTTTATGCAACTTCCTTCAAGGTCCCTCCATCATCCAAGGTAAGTTCTAATGGTGACTCTAAGTTGATTTCAATTCTCCAACACCTTATTAACATGGGTAAACCCTTCAAATTATTAGATATTCGATTGGGACATCATTGTTCAGAAAAGAAACCCTAGAACTCGAATTAAAGAGGATTGAACGTCAAAAGGTAATATCTTTAACCTCTAATTGATTATAGCATTGGATTAGTGATTATAAACTCTAAGTTCATGAGATATAAGTTGATGGGTTTGATAGAAAAGTATGAACGGTTTATAGGTTTGGGTTGTTGATTGTTAATTATTGGTTAAGGGTGTTGTTTATCTTATGGGTGATGAAGAATGATATTGATTATAGCACTTTTGGATTTTAGAATTATCTAGGAGCAAGATAATGGGCTATTGGGTGTAGAAATACCATTAATAAGGGTTATGAAGCTTTATGCCCACCAAGTGTTTGATAAAATGCCTACGTGATCAAAACATGAGTATTATTGCTAATATGGAATCCCTTTGACTTGTATTGATATAGATAAAAGTTGAAAGGGGTGACGAATGTTGTATTACGCTCAATAGCAGGAAGTTAAGGTATGTGAGGCTAACTCCCTATGTGTTGGGAATGTTAATGATTCTCCCTACACTACATTTCTTTTGCAATGTTACTAATTGCCTCAGAAAGATAGTTAAACTTAGTTCCTTGAATAGTTGCAGAACTTCTATTCTCTAGCTTCATAACTCATTCATGACTTTCATTTTGAACGTTGTGAGCTCAGTGTGTAATCAATATAAACTTGGGTTTGACGTCCATGAGTCTTACTCTAGATTTCTCAGCATGTCATAAACAATTGAAGTTTCAGTTTTCATAATCATTTCAAGAATACATATCTCAGTTTAGTCCTATTCAGTATTCCAGTATCATGTAACTCAATATGATTCAGTATTTCAGCATCACATATTGCAGTATGATTCTCAGTTTCTGAATTTAAATCACTGAATGTTGAACACATGTATTTGGGCATGAGGCCGTAGTTTATATGCTTTATGCATAATTGGACATGATGTCGTAGTTTATGCTTTATGCATGTTTGGGCATGAGGCCGTAGTTTATACTTTAAGCATTTTTGGGCATGAGGTTGTAGTTATGTATATATATACTTGGGCCCGAGGCCATAGTTATGTAGACGTATACTTGGTCCTGAGGCCGTAGTTTATTCAGATAAACATGTGGTTCATCATTCAGAAGATGAAGTATCCATATCCTTACCTCCTTTATTTATTTCAGTTATCAGTTATCAGTTATTATTTCAGTCATCAATTATCAATTATCATTTCAATTTCAGCTTCAGCAATTATCATTTCAGTTACCAAATATTAGTTATCACTTCTGTTATCAGTTATCAATTCAGTTTCAGTTTCAGCATTTACAGTTCTTTCTTTCAGTTGCTTTACGTACCAGTGCAATTCAAATATACTGACGTCCCTTTCGCCTGGAGCCTGTATCTCACGAAGCAGGTAACGATTTATAGGTTGACGATTCAGAGCGCTAGGATTCTCGTACCAGCTATTTGGTGAGCCCCATTTCTTTCGAGGCATTATCATTACCTTAGAGTCTTTCAGTATTTACAGACAGTCAGTGTTTCAGTACTTCATTAGAGGCTTTATAGACTAGAGTAACAGTTAGACAGAGTCACGTGCTTTTCATGTTAAGTAATGTTGGCTACAAATATGTTTCAGACTTATATTAGTATTTCCGCACTTGATTTATATTATTCAGACTTTCAGTATATCAGCATGTGCAGTGGCGAAACTAGGAATTTTTCCATGGATATTCAAATTTGAAAGAAGTGAAAAAAAATTCCGACAAAGGGTATTCAATATATATTATATACCTCTAAAATATTATATTTTACCTATATACACACTGTAATATTTCGACGAAGGGTGGTCAACTGACCACCCTTATGACCATATGGCTTCGCCACTAAGCATGTGTTAGTTTATCTTTCGTATTCAGTATGTTATGATATCACATGTTGATTCAGCTAGCCAGTTGGTTCGCTCAGTCACATGTAATCAGGCACCGGGTGTCATGTTACGTCTAGTCCCAGGTTCAGGGGGTGCCAGTTTAGTAGTCTAATTTGACTTCATTTGGTTGGCTTTGACTGAGTATTAAAAAAAATGGATAGGTAAAAAAAGGATAGGCAGGTGGGGGTAATTATTTTCTGTTGCATGATTATTTGCTAAACT